AGGAGGAAGGTATATTTTGTACGTTCACTGCCTTGAGTTATTTGTAAAAATAATAATTGTGGGATACAAATAAAAGAGAGAAAAAAACAAAGAATCAGCACAATAGCTATTTCAGGCCCTGAAATTCATTCTGGGAAATATTTGGAGGGGATTTAGACAGTAAAGATATTTAAAGGGAAGGGGGAAAAAGACAGTTGAAATTAAGATGGCTAAAACAACGGGGCATATGGAGAGAAAAAAATAATAATCTTTTTTCTTTCTTTTTTTAACTTTACAGCAAACTAACGAGGCAGCCAATTCTTCGGACCCCAAGACAGCCAGAGCTGTCGCTTTTATTGCAGCGGTGCAGAAATCTCTGAGCCGGTTAAATTTTGATGTATTTTCACAAACCCTCCACCAGTACAAAAGAAAACACGATTTCGATGCTATGTTATTTCAGTTGAGTGGACTTTTCTTAGAAGATGAAAACACCCACACCCTACTGCGAGGTATTTGAAGTGCCTGGGTTTCTCTTGTACCAATAGTATGTATGAATAACAAGGAGGGATTAAATGGGACTTTCATTCCTTTCGTTAATACTTTTGATTAACACTTTGTTGATATTTTTTAAGGTTCCCTTCTGCTGTTTGGATTTGCATCTATGTACAGGATTAGGGACTAGCTCGATACCCATGCTTCTCTACGAAACTATGTGGTTGGGCTTAGTTTTGGGGGAGGAAAATAAGAAAAAAAAAATTCTGTCTCTGCCCAGCAGCATCTATCGGTATTCATCTTGTTAGCATCCTGTCAGTGTGTGAAAGAGTTGAGGGCCATTTGGAAATTTGCTGTGTGAGCAAGAAGGAGACAGCAAGGAGCCTGGGCGTGGCTTAGCTCAACTGTTCTGAACTAAAGCTTCTTGGTGCTGTGAAACTAAAACTCTCCTCTCCTCTGCTTGTGTTTTGCATTTGGAGCAGATTTATTTTCAGGTGGGGAGGGGGAGTAGAACTCCTTAGCATCAGAGCGTGTGAATAATAATAATAATATAGAAAATGCTAATGCTCTGATGATCATTTCGGAAAAATTTTTTTCTTAGTGAGCACCTAGAAGCCAAAAGGAACAGATGTGCCCAATTTCAAGTTTGTAGGCTTTACGTTTCTGGAGATTTTGTGATGATGTGTTAAGTGGTATTTCGCTGTTTTATATAGAGAGATTATGATTTGTAACAGGGGCGGCATGTACTGTAACATGTACAGTAACCATTGTGGCTAACGCACAAATTTTTAATTATTATGATTGGTTGCACAGTCAGCCAGGTGTTTGAACTAGATTTGTCATTTTTATTCACCTATCGAGTCCTTTCCAAAAATGTGGGAAAGGCAGATACGTTTGATGGTGTTAAAGGTATCATTGCAGGATGTCAGCTGTTCCAAGTAAAGCTGCCTTTTGCAATTGACTGATGGGGATTTTGTCAATGCCGAAGGTGTTCCCGTGGTGCTCCAGATATTTTGGGATTGCACCCAAAGGTGCCTACGACCATTAGTATTATCTTTGCTTCCTTTTGCCACCGTCATTTTACTTCTATTCACAGGTCTTTGTATTGTGTGATTGTCTCCAGCTCTTTTTCTTCTCTTCTGCTCTCTTCAGGTACTGCTACATCCACTAGCCAGGGTATTTTATCTTTCTTATCGACAGTTGTTAAGACCGGCGAGCTACGTGGCAGAGGCTTCTCTGTCTGAATTCTAAAGTCCCAGCACAATTTAGCGTCTTCATTTTTCTACGACTTTCTCTGTTTTGGGGTCCCGCCAGTTATGGCTTTCAGGCAATTGGTATTTCTTGCAGATCTTCCAGTGTAACCTCGTTACTTACTTTGTCATGCCACCTTTTTTTTTTTTAATAAAAGTTTTTATTTTTTAAGACAAACATATACAAACAAAACATAAAACCACCTTCCATTTTATATACATACCATGTGTCAGTTGGTTACCAATCTTTTGTGCTATCCTTTCGTAGTCATTACTCACAGTTTATATAAATTTTCACATTGTCAAACTAACATATGCTTATTTATTTATTTATTTATTTGATTTGCCAATTGTTTACAAGATAATAAGTATAAATGTATACATAGTTGTGAATACATGAAATGGGTACATATAAGAAAAATAAAAGAATAAGAGAAACAATAGGACAGGGACGGTAGGCACGTTGGTGTATGTCATGCCACTTTTTTTGTAGTAAGTCCTGTGCAACGTTGTTGCAGCAGGAAGAAAGGAACTAGGAAATCCTGTTTCTTCAGCTTCTTTGTAGCAGTGGCATTTCCCACCTTTTGATTTCTTAACTCTGGCTTTGCATACATTTGTTATGTATTATGTATTATTTATATATTAATTAATATATTAATAAATATCCATATATAATAACGCATTCCCAGATATAAGCATACAGATACGGTCCAAGACAACAAACATATCTACTACTCTTGTTCCTGTTTTTCCCCCAGTCCACCCTTTGAGACTGACTGGCTCAAGGATTCCCGGCTGTAGTTCATGTTTATGATAGGACTAGAAGTGTCTCCTGGTTTCTAAGTCAGCACCTTCACTACTACACGAAACTGGCTTTCTTGATGATTTAAGTTCTCTTTGAGGAGCCTGAAGATACCTCCAATTAAAAGGATTTTAAGTGCCAGCCGATGGCAAAAACCTGTGGTTGAATTAAGGTAGAATAGATGCATTGTGCCTACTGGAGGACTCACAGGCTTGCCCTAACCTTCATCCCCAAACAACAAAAATACTGTTGAAAATCATTTGTTTTGCCAATTTTGGCTGCACAGTCTTAAGATGTAGAAGTGGAGTGGGGGAATCCACTGGCAGATAGCCCACTCCTACACGGTCAGCTGCCACCTTGTGCTAACTTATGCTTTGCTGCTATGCAGTGAGACTGCCATGAGCTGTGGGGAAGGAGAGCGAAGGGAGGGAATGCTTGGGGAAGCAAAAGTCAGTGTTGTGCCTTCTCTAGAGACCCTGCCTCAAGGTCACCCAGCTGGAAGGAAGAGGGAGCTGCATACCAAACTACACTTGGACTGACCGTTAGGAAAACATCTTGCCTAAACCTGATTGGTTACATCTGGTTGGGCATTGAGAGACCGTTAAGGGAGGGAAAAGTAAAACGTAGGGATTTGGGGCATGATTCTCCATTCTGGCTTTGCAATACATTGGATCTCTAATAAAAACTATACCTTTCACAACCAACGGAACACTCACAGTGGCGTAAGTTGTAGCAGGTATGCTACACACTGAACCATTAACCAAGTTCGACAAACCACGGTGCTGGATTTGCACAGGCTGAAATGTACTCTGCATTTGGGGAGAAGTAGGCCAGCGTTCAACCCTCTTAACTATCATCATCTTTCCTTCTTCTTTTTTTAATTTGACAGAGTTTTACCAATTTATTCGGCCTCAGCACAAAAAGCAGTTTGACGAAGCTTGCCGTTCCCTGACCGGAGTCGGCTGCGGATACAAACCTGAGCACAGCCTTCTGCAAGAAGATAGATTGTTGTTGGCTGAAAATGCAGGTGAGGCTGTCCTCTGAGCAGTTTGCAGCTCCAGAGGCGTTGAAAGGTATTTTTCGTAGAAGCCACCCCTTTCCCAGGAAAAATAATAATGCCCTCGCCAGAACAGAGTGTCCTCTTCCAGCTGGTTTTGTTTTTGTAGAGGCTTTTCTTTTGAGCTCTTTGGAAAGAAAGCAAATCCATCTTAACAAGGAAAAAGTGTCTGGACTTCCTTGCCCGTTTTCTTCATCAGCAACTGGGTTTAAGTTCTCCTGAATCTTCCCAGGAACTTCCCCTCCCACCTGCCAGCTGCCATCAATAAATTTTATTTGTTTCTCATTTTCCCGTTAATTCATTTAAACATAAATAGCATTTCTTTGCACCCTGTATTTATAGTCCCTAGATTCTATTAATATTTTTTGAGAATTATTCCTAGTTCCACCATAACTTCAAATATTCCAAATGTGTAGGGTCAATAATAACGCCAAATATTAACAATATTTAATCAATCCCAGGAGCGTATCTCAAAACCCTACACAATTTCTAATCCTTAGAATTATGGAATTATTCTGCAATTATTCTGGATTATGAAGAATGACTAGTATTGCTGAAGTTGCGGAAGTGGGAAGATTAGAATTACACATACCTATTTGTATTATTATGGTTACTGTTACTTAAAAAAGACATGACCCAGTCAATGCAATGTCCACAAAATATATATGTTTATATTGAAAAATAAAAAACTTATTTGAAAAAAGAATTATTCGTTAATGCTATAATCTTAATGCTTAAAGTTTAACATTTGCATTTTTTTAGTTGTCTGTGTAGGTAGTCCTCAATTTACAACCTTTTGTTTAGTGACAAGCCGAAGTTACAATAGCCCTGAAAAAGAGTGACTCAACTCCCAGAATTTTTTACATGTCCGTTGCAGCATCCCCATGGTCACGTGATCAAAATTCAGCTGCTTGGCAACTGACTCGCCTTTATGACTGTGGCAGTGTCCCAGAGTCACATGATCACCTCTTGCGAATGTCTGACAAGCAAAGTGCCAACTAAAACAATACTCCTTTGGTCCTTTTAGTTGCCAGCAGAAAGGGAGTGGGGGAAAGCAGTGCATTCCTTAAATGCCTCAGATAATCGCCTTGGCAGCCCAGAGTTGTCGCAAGAAAGAATATTACTGGAGAGCATGATGGATGACTTTTGGCTATGGATGTGTCCCATTGGAGAATATACGTCCAGGGGGTGGGGGGAAGACCAGGGTCAAACAGGAAATAAATGATGTATTTTAGTGTCGGCTGCACCCAGCTAACACCAACATGGCCGCTTCTAATAAATCAATTTTATTTTCTCTGAGAGATATGGCTAGAGAGTGATGGTTTGAATGGAGGATGGATTTGTTGGAGCCCTGACACAAAGTCAATGGGGAAGCCAAGTTCACTTAACAACTGTGTTACTAACTTAACAACTGCAGTAATTTGCTTAACAACTGTGGTTTTCTCTTATCTGGTTTTCTTTGATTTTTAGGACAGGGCGATGAGAATAAAATTACTTTGGAGGAGAATTCTACTAAACAGCTTAATTCCGTGCAGCATTTAAACAAAGGCGGAGGACACCTGACGGCTGATTTAAATATGAAAGGTATGCTTTCAATAAAGTTCCTTGATAATACCTGTGGGGAACTGTTCGTTTCCAGTTCATCATTAAAACTGAATTCAGTCGCATACTCACCCTGGGATGAAACCATATAAGATGTTTGAATTGGGGGAAAGAGGGAATTTCTTAAATGCTCTTTTGAAGATTATGCTTCAGGAAAGGAATCTTTGTTCTGCTGCAGTTTGGACTTTTAAAAAAAGGAATTATAATTCTTTAGGGTGGAAAGGAAATGTTTCTGTTACTTTGAATTTTGTGACACGCATAGCTTGCAGCAATAATCATTGTTCTCAGTTCCGATTTACCAGTGTAAGAGGGTGAGTCTGCTTCTCAGTAAGCATTGCACATGCTTTAACAATGGGAGAATTTTCCCCCTTTATATCCTGCTTTGTCTTTTGAAAAATGCTCCTGAGGTCATGCAAAACTGTCTGGAGAAAACAATAATAAAACTGTTATTACAGTTGGCCAATCCTTCCCCGCCTGAATGGTGGCTCCGGGCTGACAGAGGATGTTAAGTGATGCAAGTTTGGATTTTCCAAGGAGACTAATGGCAGGAATAAAGAAGGGAAACTCAAAAGAAATAAATTAATTTCAACCTTTCACTCATTTCTGAAGCCTGTTCTTTGTTTCCTCGACCTTGCCTAATTCCATAGGGCTTGACATACTGCACAGCGAGGATATTTTTATTTATTTATCTGTTTGATTTTTATTCCACCTTTATTACTTTATAAGTAAGTCAAGGTGGCAAAACAGGCATTATACACCCTCCTTCTCCAATTTCCCTAAACAACAACCCTATGAGGTGGGTTGGGTTGAGAGAGAGTGACTGGCCCAAAGTCGCCAGACGGCTTTCATGACTAAGATAGGAGTAGAACTCCCAAAATCCTGACGATTGGTTCAAAGTCACCCACCTGGCTTTCATGCCTAAGGTGGGACTAGAACTCACTGTCTCCTGGTGGATTGGCTCAAAGTCACCCAGATAGAATATGTGCTTTTTGAATATTTAATACAGCATCAAAGCAGATAGAATAGATTAAAATAACAGAGTTGGAAGGGACCTTAGAGGTCTTCTAGTCCAACCCCCTGCTTAGACAGGAACCCTATACCATTTTAGACAAGTTTAGGTTGGTTTATCCAATCTCCTCTTAGAAACTTCCAGTGTTGGAGCATTTACAATTCAGAGGCAATCACGAATCATAGAGAGTTTACCATTATATCAGGGAAAACTGCTTATTAGGTCATAGTCTAGTTTAGAAAGAAAAAGCTTGGATTACTGCATCTTGCTCTACATGGAACTATCCTTGAAGACCGCCAGCAAGCTAAACTGGTCCAGAACGCGGCCATGCAATGATCGGCATTCCTTACTTTCCTCCTATAACATCCCTGCTCTAGGAGCTGCATGGATTACTAGTGGGATTCCAGGTTTGGTCTTCATTTACTTTAACCCGGGGATTCTCCAAACATAGCTGTGCTGGCTGGGGAATTCTGGGAATTGAAATCCATAAGCCTTAAAAGTGGTTAGGTTTGCTGACCCCTGATATACCTGGGTTAAAAGTTAGCGAAGACCGTACCTGGAATCATGATTAATTGATGATGTGCCATCAAGTTGGTGCCATCTCTTAGTTGGCTAGACTTTCTCTGGGATGATCTGTCCCCCATCCTGGCTCTTCAGGTCTCTAACAGTGCTGTAATCAAGTCCACCTTCTCACCTTTTCTTCTTTGCTTACAACTTGTCCAGCATCAGAGCCTTCTCCAGAGATCTCTATCGAGAATACCATGTTTTCCTGAAAATAAGACCCCGTCTTGTATTTTTTTGCCACCGAAAAGGGCACCAGGTCTTATTTTGGGGGGAATATCATCCACCACCCCCACCCTAGCTTAATTTTTACCCATCTGCTCTGGAGTGGGTGGGATCTTAATTCGGGCTTATTTTGGAGGGTAGGGCTTATATTGGGTGCATGTGTAAAAAATCAAGCCAGGACTTACTTTCAGGGTAGGTTGTATTTTTCTGGGAAACAGGGTAATAATTTGATGTGATAATTTTAGTCTGGTCTTTTGGTACCTCCAGCAAGAACTCTGAGCTTTGCTTTGTTTGAGGATCCATTTGTTTGTTTTTAATTATCGGTAGCATCCCCAGAGGTCTTTCCCCACACCAGAGTTCACAAGGGTTGTATGGCTCCCTTAACAGCCATACAACATCAAGAACCTTTTACAGGTGGCCCTCCCGCTAACAAGCATAATTGAGCTCAGGTTGCTAAGCTAGTTCAGTGAGTTTTGCCCCATTTTATTACCTTTCTTGCCATAGTTGTTAAGGGGAATCCCTGCAGTTTTTACCGTATTTTGGGGAGCATAAAACACATGTTTTTCCACCCTGGCGATGCTGCAACAGGTTGTAAGTGCGAAAAACCATCAATAAGTCACTTTGTCAGTTCCATTGTAACTTTGAACGGTCAACTGAACAAAATAAGTCAAAGACTTACCCGTATTGAGAGTTCGCTTATAATAGGTAGTCCTCGACTTACGATCGCAACTGAGCCCCAGATTTCCATTGCTAACCAAGACAATTGTTAAGTGAGTTTTGACCCATTTTATGACCTTTCTTGCCACGGCGGTTCAGTGAATCACCATGACCGTTAAGTTAGTAATACAGTTGTTCCATGAATCTGTCCTCCCCCTTGACTTCGCTTGTCAGAAGGTCACAAAAAGGGCTCGTAGGACCCCCTCCCCCCCTTGCAGGATACCGCAACCGTCATATATGACTTCAAGCGTCTGAATTTAGATCACGTGACCATGGGGCTTCTGCGGTGGTCATAAGTGTGAAAGACCGTCCTAAGCCACTTTTTTTCCAGTGCCGTCTTAACTTTCAGTCACTAAACGAACCACTGTAAATCAAGGACCGCCTGTACTTCTGAGAAGTAGCCGCAGGGCAAGCAGACCCCAATCAGCCTGAGTAATTTGTGTTTGCCCACCATGTTGTGTCTTCTGTCTCAGGGGAAAGCAGTGCCAAGTGCCAGTCCGATGTCTTCTCCAGACTTTCATTCAGTACCATAAAGGAGAATGAGAAGGAGACCTACCTGTCAGCCTACGTCAGTGAACTCAAGAAGTGCCTGGACAAAACCAGCTATAATACCTTCAAGTCAGCACTTGTCGCATACAGGAAGACAAGTGACTATGACTCGATGGTGACCGTGGTCGTAGCCCTCATTACGGAAAAGCCGGAGAACTTCCACCTTCTACAGAGTAAGTGCCTCCCCAGCTGTTTGTAGAGTAAGCGGAACTATGTCCGTATTCTGTTAGGACCTGACCTCAGCGGCGCAGTGGTTAGAGGGCAGTACTGCAGGCTACTTCTGCCGACTGCCGGCTGCCTGCAGTTTGGCAGTTCGAATCTCAACCAGGCTCAAGGTTGACTCAGCCCTCCATCCTTCCAAGGTGGGTAAAATGAGGACCCAGATTTTGGGGGGGGGCATAGGCTGACTATAAACTGCTTAGAGAGGGCTGTAAAGAACTGTGAAGCGGTATATAAATCTTAAGTGCTATTGCTGGTGCTTTTATGGTTTATGTGGTAGGAGTGACAGGACACTGCCCTCCTCAAGGGATTGCAATCAACAGCTACATTCTGGTGGCAAAACAAATCCAAAACCTAGAACTATAGAAGTTCAAAATATGGGTAGTCCTCGACTTACGACCACAATTTTGTCCAACTTTTCTGTTGCTAAGTGAGCCATTGGTTAAGTGAGCTTTGCTCCATTTTATGACCTTTCCTGCCACTGGTTTGGCTTGTCAGAAGGTCGCAAAAGGGGATCATGTGAGCCTGGGACACCACAACCTTCCTAAATATATATCAGCTGCCAAGCTTCTGAATTTTGATCACATAACCGCAGGGATGCTGAAGCGGTTGTAAGTGTGAAAAACAGGAATAAGTCCCTTTTTTTCAGTGCCATTGTGACTTCGAATGATCACTAAGTGAACTGTTGAGAATGACCGTACCTGTGTCAGGCCATCATAGGAAGAAAATAAGACATATCTTTATATCTTCTGTAAAGATATGCTAACAAATATTAAAGACAGAATGGGTTGAACTTTGCAAATTTTATGAACCCATGAGGTCAGTAGATTTTCACTGTACATTATGTCCACAATTAGGAATCTGTTTTTTATCTCTCTGTCCAGTCTTGAATTCCTCTGCTGTATATTGGATGTGGAAAACCTTCCTTATCCCTAATTTCCTGTTTCTGCATTATCCCTTTATTTGAATTTAAAATGAAATGGCTTTTGAAAGGCTGTTTTGAAATAGCATAAGTACAGTTATTTTTCCCTCAAATTCCCCTAAAATGATGGGATACTATCCTTCAATTTGGAAATAGGGTGTGGATAATGATGATGATGTTGTTATCCATTCAGCCATGTCCAGCGTTTGGCAATTCTGAGGTCCAAGGTCCCCTCCACATCTTCCAATCTTGCACCACTTCTTTGAGTTGTTTTATTATGCTCCAGCTAGTGTCAGCTTTGATGATGTCCAGCCACTGTGTTCTTTGGCAGCCTGGTTTCCTTTTACTGCTATCTCTTTGAAACATAATTGCTTTCTCCAAGGAATTTTCCCACATGACACGGTCAAAGTAAGTGACGCGCGGAGGATCTGGATATAACAACATAACGTAAAGCTAAAAAAAAAAAATCTATTTTGCATCTAAGATCTAGGGATCAGTACAGCAGACTGGAACGGATTTCTCTCCCATGCCATTAACTCATAAGTTTCTTTGTTTCTGTCCCCAAAAAATTAAAGAGGTTTCTTGCCTTTTACAAAAAAACCCTTTTCCTTGTAATCCCCAAAAGCCAGTTTGGTGTAGTTGAGACACCAGGCTAGAAACTCAGAGATTTTGACTTCTAGTCCCACCTTAGCCATGAAATCCATCTGGGTGACTTTGGGCCAGTCATCAGGAGACTGCGAATTTTAGTCCCGTCTTAGATTTACAAGTCGTCTGGGTGACTTTGGACTCTGTCTCTGCGCGACTCACCTCACAGGGTTGCTTTTTGTGGGGGAAAATAGGAGGAAGGTATATTAGATATGTTTGCCACCTTCAGCTGTTTAAAATAATAAACAAACAAAAGCGGGATAAACTACCTTGTTTCCCCAAAAATACGACCTACCCTGAAAGTAAGTCCTAGCCTGATTTTTACATGTGTGCCCAATATAAGCCCTACCCCTCAAAATAAGCCCTGATTAAGATCCTGCCCACTCCAGAGTGCACAGGTATAAATTTAAGCTAGGGTGGGGATGAGGGGTGGGGGTGGAGCTGCCCTACTACTTACCTTTGGGCAGTTGTAGCCAGGCCTCACACCCCCCGACACCTGCCTTGCCGGCCCATTTCTTCAGCAGCCGGCAGAACTTTCCTCAAGGCCTCTGGAGCTGGTAACAAAGCTCTGGATTGATCCAGAGCTCTGTTACTGGGTGCAGAGACCTTCAGGAAAGCCTTGCCAGCCGCAGAAGAAGAAGTTCCTGAAGGCCCCTGACAGCGAAAAGGAGGGTGGGACAATGAGCGCAAAAGTGAGATTAGTCAGTGGATGACATCCCCAGAAAATAAGGCCTGGTGCCTTTTTTTGGTGCCCCCCCCCCCAAAAAAAAGACAGGGTCTTATTTTCAGGGAAACACAATAAAATAAGCAATAAAAGTGTTTTCAAGGAGGTTGTCAGGACTCTGACAAATCCACCACCCATTCAAATCATAAGTCTCTAGCCGCATCCCTCAGAGTGGGGAAAAAAAAGGTTTTATTAGGAGTGACCATGTGGTCGTTACCCGGGTGCAGCTGACAGTAAGACCCATCATTCAATTCCCCCTTGACCCTGATCTTCCCCCCGCCTCCTGGATGTATATTCTCTAACGGGACACGTCCATAGCCAAGGGTCCTCAATCATGCTCTCCAGTAATAATCTTGCACACCAACAACTTCAGCTGCCTAGCAGTTATCTGAAGCATTTAAGGAATGCGCTGCTTTCCCCCCCACTCTCTTTCTGCTGGAAACTAAAAAGACCAAAGAAGTATTTTTTTTAGTCGACAAGAGGTAGGAGAAGAAAGTGGTCTGGGAATGGTTGAGTCACATCCAGCGAGGCACAATTGGACCAGGAAAAAACAAACTTGATTCCCTCACCTATAAAGAAGAAAGGAACTCCTTTACAACAGGGGTCCACAACCTATGGGCCGCAGCCCGCTACTTGGGTCTGTGGCCTATTCGCCACCGGGCCATACATAAAACGCACCCACCCACCCCAAGCGGCAGGCCCCAGCGCTTGCAGCCCCACTCGCATGAGTATGCACGCGGGCCCGCTGCTCACATAAATGAAGCTGTGTGTACACGTGCATGCACGTAAATGCCCTCACGTAAAACCATACCCTCTCACCTCACCCCACCCCTCCGCTCTGCCTCCTGCGTTGGGCCGCCAGTCCAAAAAGGTTCGGAAAGGGTACTTTGCAAGAATAGCCCATATTGACATATTGGTAGTCCTTGGCTTAAAACCATTGGTTTCATAACTGTTCAAATTTACAACAGCACTGGAAAAAAGTGACTTAATGATTGTCCCAAAGGTGCTTTTTTCTGGACTTTCTGCTTTTTCTTTGAAGACATTTTGCTTCTCATCCAAGAAGCTTCTTCAGCTCTGGATGGTGGGGAAGGGAAGGATGTATACACCTTTGCAGACAGCTGGTTATTTGCATCCTTTTTTAGAGAGTCGTTGAAGCCACCTGGAGGTTTACCTGTGTCCTCAGGGTCACCTGAGTGGTGCAAATGTGTGTGGGGCCTTCTTTGAACTGCTGTAAATACTGTGTTGTAGATGGAGATAGATGATGTCGTATCCCTCCTCCTCTGTTGAGAGAAGGCTGTTCAGTTTTGACATAGATGGCCTCTTTGACCCCTCTTTCTTTTGTTGACTCCCTGAGGACACAGACAAACCTCTAAGTGGCCTTAACGCAAATCAAATGACCAGCTGTCTGCAAGGAGTAGATTAACAACAGGAATTTGGGGCTCAGTTGTGGTTGTACTAACTGTACTCTGTGTAGAAGACACAGCCTACACATTTCAACTCAAAAGGAAAACAAATGGGGAGTTTTCCAGTGCAGTCCAGTGGAGGAGTGGAAACAGGAATTTGCTCACTAATGTTTTATGTCAGTAAACAATCTGTGTTTGGCTACCATGAAAGTACGGGAAGAAATTGTGTTTTTAACTGAAGATTAAGAAGAAAGTAAAGATGATGTCAGCATTTTGAGTGCGGTTATCATCCGTAGCCCTTGTTATCTTTATTTGTTTCTTGGCCTGAAAATTACAGTGAATGAAAGATTGCAAGGAAGCAAGGGTCATGGAATTGCATCACTAGGACTTAAGAGACAATTTTTAGACTGTCACCAGGAATAATCATGTGTGTCTTTTGAGTGCGAAGAGGAACATGTCTCCTCTGCTCAGCTACACAAAACCCGTATTTGGGGCTCTTTAATGAAAGCTTATCTATCCTACCTTTACTAATGAGCAAAAAGGAAGGCTATCTCCGTGTAATGGGCCCTTGGTGCTCTCTGAGCTAGTTATTTTCTAAGTTGTCATCAGTTATTGGACCTTTAAAAAAAAGCAAGACTGGGAAGAAAATTGACTCGCTTGAGCTGCGGTGCTGGAGATGGCTCCTGCGTAGTCCTTGGACAGCAAAGTTGATTAACAAGCAACGACTGGAACTGGAACGCATAACACCAGACATGTCACTGGAAGGGGGGGGGGGAAATCACGAAACTGCATCTTCAATTACTTTGGCCCTGTCATGCAGGGAAATTCACTGGAGAAGGCAATTATGTTGAGAAGAAAAAAAGTAAACCAGGCCCCCTCCCCCGAAGAACACGGTGGCTGGACACCATCAAAGTTGACGTCAACCAGAGCACAGAAGAACTCAAAGAAACAGTGCAAGATAGGAAGATGTGGAGAGACCTGGCCTATAGGATTCCCAAGAGTCAAACTCGACTGAATGGATAATATCATCATCGTCAATGCTAAAAGGGAATGAGAACAGTTGCCATTCCCTTCTAGCACTAATTATGTTACCTAGTTGGGTAATGAAAGATCACCGAAAAAACCAACCAAGCTCAAAGATCTTAACCCCCCCCCCTCCTCCCTGCAAACTCCACTCTCTTCTAGCACTGATGATGTTACCTAATTTGGGTGATGAAATGTCTGCAAGAAAATAATTGAGTTCAGAGAGCACCAAGGAACCCATTCTCCTCCTCCTCCTCCTCTCCACACACCCCACTCCCTTCAAGCACTGATGATGTTACCTGACTTGGTCATGAAACATCTGCCAAAAAACAAACAAACCCAACCAGGCTCAGAGACCCCACCCCCAGTTCAGCCCCAAACTACAGATATTCTCTTCTGTTGCTAATCTTACCGTCTCAAAGGCACAACAGAAAAAGGAGAGCCGCTAATTGTTAAGGCTGGGTTAGTTTTCTTCTCTGAAAAGCCGTGGAGAACCACCGGGAGGGAATCGCATATGATGAGCTGTCGTTGCTCCCCTCTCCCCTTCTCTTGGAAGGGCGAGGTCGAAATATGAAAATTTGAGGAGGCATAATGTGTGTGTCTCAAATCTAAAAGTTAAGATTTCACTCTCTCTCAAAGTGAAATCTAACTTTTCTGGAAAACTGGAGAAATTTTCTCCCCCGGGAAAAAAGACGTCAATATGCACTTCAGGGGCTGCTCAGATCCCTGTTAGAGGAGAAGCAAAGCCTGTAGGTGGCTAAAATCATAGATTACGTGAATAGGAAGGACCTTCTAGCAAGACCGTGCAATGCTTTGGGGTCCATTTAGACGAGATCTGTTGAATGCCCAAGAGAACCCCTCTGCGGTTTTTCAAGTGGTGCTTCTTCCAAAGTTGGACAGTTGCCCAGCCAGCGTAGGATTCCACTAAAGCAGGGTTTCTCCACCGTAGCCACTTGAAGATGAGTGGACTTCCAACTCCCAGAATTCACCAGCCCAAGCAGGTGAATTGAGAAACCCTGCACTAAACTATTCTTGAACCAGCAGCCACCCTTAAGTCCTGTTGGGAAATCTCCAGCAAGGAACAGCTCGCTGTTATTCTCGGAAGACCATTTCATTGTTTAAAAAATGGCTTCATTTTAAATTTCTCAGGAACAGCTGATTCACTTAGTAAAGACCAGGCCTATCTTTTGCTTTGGCATTTGGGATGTTTCCTAGTTTCATAAAAAGACTTTTATCTCAGCCGCCTTCTAATAATATGGTTTCTTATTAAGAAATGAAAGGATGTGGTCACACTCCCTACGAATTATAACAAGGAAACTCTCTTGTTTTCTTATCAAGGAAACTTGATAAGAAAAAATCATTTTTCCCCCTCGAGGCATATTGACGTCTTTTTTCCCGGGGAGAGGAAATTTCTCCAGTTTTCCAGAAAAGTTAGATTTCACTTTGAGAGAGAGTTGAAATCGTAACTTTTAGATTTGAGACACACACATTATGCCTCCTCAAATTTTCATATTTCGACCTCGCCTTCCAAGAGAGGATGCTGTGGTTTTAACCCATTCCTGACGGCAGTCCCCATGGTCATGCAATCAAAATTCAGATGCTTGGCAACTGACTCATATTTATGACAGCTGTGGGGGTTATCTTTTACAACCTTCTGACAAGCAAAAGTCAACGAGGAGCCCGAATCACTTAATAATCCTGTTACTAATTTAACAAGTCCAAGGATTCCCTTAACAACTGTGGCAAGAAAAGTCGTAAAATGGGGCAAAACTCACTTTTAAAAATGCCTCACTTAACAACATACATTTTGGACTCGGTTGTGGTCGTAAATCGAGGGCTCTCGCTCTCAGAACCACATTCTACATAATCCTAAATGCATAGGTTAGGGATCATTGTCAGTTAGCCTCACCACTGGGGTGCAACCAATCCCCCGAGAAGCGTTCCTTGTTTTGTATTGGGAGTGGGATTCAAGTCTTGATACATACAGAAGATTCTTAAAGCAAATATAAAGATAAAAGCCAGAGGCTTTTCTTTTCTTAATGGACACAAAACTTGAGAAAAACAATTTGGAACTTTGTTGTTAGATGTGCGGACAGCAGCAAGAAGGCTCCAGGTGAAAAAATGGAAAGAGATTTTAATTCCTAGCAATAGATGACCGGCTGGAAAAACTGATGGAGTTAATAGAGATGACAAAATCGAGTGTCCTAATTGAAAGAAAGGGATCCAGCTAATTTAGTTCCCACTTGGAAACCACTTCTGGGCTTTGTGGTTGAAGTGGGGGCGGGGGGAAATGAAACTTTTGACTGAATTTTGCTGATTAGATAGGCTGTTGTTATAGCCGGTTATAACTTAAGACCACGATGTGCCAAAAATGAACTTAAGCAGAGGCTTTGAAGAACAAAACCTAACTTTAATTGATCAATAAGGTTAGGGTAAGACCTATCCTCACATACACACAAGATAGATATGAGAGGAAGGCTATAAGGCATATGGAGAAATTAAAGTCTTATACCTTTAGGATTCTTAGAAGTCACATCATATACTTTAACTGCATTGTAAAACGCTCTAACTTAGATTTACATCTTCCTGCAAAAAACAGATATTTTCCTGGTGATGTTTACCTTTCATTGTCTCTTCTCCCATTGTCTTCCTAATTGATCAATTGATCAGGGTTTCTCAGTTCACCTAATTGATCACAATTGACCACTTGAGGAGGCTATTAACAGCATACTTCAAAGGTGTGGATTCCTCCAGGTGGAGGTAGTTACATTCCCAGAGAAGTATGTTACCTTCTCAGGGGGTGATGTTGGGGTGAAACATATCAATCCAGGAAAACAGATGGATTCAGATGAATTTAGATGAGACAATCATGTGTTTTAATAGGAGAGGGATGTAACTGATTTCAGACATGTGTTATAATTGTTTTACAACAAGTGAAAGGTTAAGGAAACTTTTTCTACGACAGCAAGATAAGAAATGCCTATAGAGTAACTTTCTACTTAATGCTATAATATATTCTACTACATTTCTTTATTTATTACCCTTCAATAAGGTTAGTCTGTACTACAGGTAGTCTTCAACTTACAACAGTTCATTTGGTGACGTTCAAAGTTTCAGCATCACTGAAAAAAGTGACTTACGACCATTTTTCATATTTACAACTATTACAGCATCCACCGGTCATGCAATCAAAATTCAGGTGCTTGGCAACTGACTCTATGACCATTTCATATTTGTGACGGTTGCAGTGTCTCAGGCTCATGTGGTCCCCTTTGGCAAGCTTCTGGCAAGCAAAGTCAAACGGGAAACCAGATTCACTAAATTAGTCAACCATGATTCACTTAACCACTGTGGCAGGTAAGGCCACGAAATGGGGCAAAACTCACTTAACAAAGACCTCACTTGGCACCAAAAATGTTGGGCTCAATTGTGGTCTTAAGTTGAGGACTATCTGTATTACATAGAGGTTGATTGAGGCTGTATTTCATTACCTTCTTTTCCTTTTACCATACACTTTTTCTTCTTCCCTTTTTCCTCCCCTAACTCTCCTCCTATTTTCATTTTTGTTTCTGTCGTCTATTTTGATAAACTAATTTAAAAAAAAATTGGAGCTGACAAGCCTTTTTTTTTTTTGTCTCAAAGGTGGTTTTGTTTTTGTTTTCCCCCAAAAGGCAGTTTGAGTTTTCTTGGTGTTTTGTTCGAAAACAGTTCAGTTCTGAGGAAGCTTCCAGGATGAGAAGCCAAACACGTTCAAAGAAAACACCAATAAAATCCAGTTGCCTTTAGGAAAAACAAAAACAAAAAAAAACACCCTTGGAACAACCATGGCCTTGGATGGTTGATGAAAATCTCCACGAGAAGATGAGACATGTTCTCATTTTCCTTGGAAGTCATTGGCTCACGTCGTGACCTGCTGCTTTCTTTCTTTGGTAGGATTTGCCACATTCGTCCGCCCTCCTCACAAGGAACAATTCCTACAGATGTGCAGAGAACTCACTGGCACAAATTTCCCGGAGGAGAACAGTGAAAAGAGTTCCCATGGTAAGAGCTTTCACGCTGCACTCTGGAAGACGCCGAGATTCAGGATCAAGTTGCCAGACCAGGTTTTCAGTGCTTCTCTTTTGGGCGCTTCCACGCTCATCGAGTATTTGCTTCCTTAATTTGAAAATATATACTGCAAAAGATCAGAATACTTGGAGATTAGTTTTATCCCCTGGGGAGCTTTTGGAAATGAGCCTTAACACACATTTTTGTTTCATTAGCTGGATTTGTAGAAAAACATTACGCTATAAACCTTGGAATGGCCTTGCAGTTTTCAGAATGATGAGTCAAATTCCAACTGCAAATGAGTGAAATAGAAACGGGGTTTTAAAAAGCCCAAGGCTTCTACAAGGAAGCACTGCACTGTTGCATGTGGGTAGTCCTTGACTTGCAACCATTCATTTACTGACCGTTCCAAGTTATAACGGCACTGGAAAAAGTGACTTACGGCTGTTTTTCACACTTATGACCGTTGCAGTATCCCCATGGTCACATGATCAAAATTTGGATAGCCATAGCAATAGCACTTAGGCTTATATACCACACCGATGTTTGGCAACTGACTCCTATTTATGACAGTTGCAGAGTCCTGGGGTCATGTGATTCCCTTTTGTGACCTTCTAAACAAGCAAAGTGCATGGGGGAGCCGGATTCACTTAACAACTGTGTTACTAACTTAACAAAGGAAGTGATTCACTTAATAACGGTGGCAAGAAAGGATAGTAAAATGGGGCAAAACTCACTGAATAAGTGTCTCACTTAGCAACAGAAATTTTGGGCTCAATTGTGATTGTAAGTTGAGGACTACCTTTGTTCTCAGTACCATAAATAGCTTCGTAGAGATGGCTAGAAATTAGGCACATGATGTAGGATTTGGGCTGAGACAGGATCAATCACAACACGGAGTCCCCTTTTGTTAGCCCCATCTGAAAAAGGAATTGGGCTGGGCAGATGAGCAAAAGAATATCACGATACTCTTTATTATTTCATTTATTTATCAAATTTCTACACTGCCCATCACATCTGTATGACTCCATAAAGCCATAAAGGAGCAGTTGTAGCACAGTGAATGCGGCATTTGCAGGCCGATTCTGCCTACAGTCAGCAGCTCGATCCTGACCGGTTCAAGGTTGACTCAGCCTACCATCCTTCCAAGGTTGGTAAAATGAAGACCCAAGATTGTTGGGGCACATTTGCTGACTCTGTGAACCACTTAATGAGGGCATTATGTAAAGCCGTATATAGAAAATTGGAAACTGAACAAGGAGAGAGATTCAACCTGGAAATAAGCAGAAATTTACTGACAGTGAGAACAATCAACCCATGGAAGAGAAGCAGCCCTTGGAAGTTGTGGGAGTGTCATTACTTGAGATTTTGAAGAAGAGGCTGGACTGGCATTGGTCAGAAATGGTATAGGGCAGTGGTTCTCAAAGTGGGTGGTACCACCCCCTGGGGGGCAGTGGGATGCCTTAGGGGGGCACTAAGAGGCAAGGGGGACACTAAGAGGCGACGGGGGTGCTGGAGGTGGGACCCTCACTGGGCTCAATTCAGGAGTGGGATTCTACCAGTTCATTACTGTTCCTGGTAGTTTGGAGTACCGGTAAAACGGGCCCCTGGCTGGCCCTGCTCCTCTCCGCCCACTCCTCCGTTCCCTGCATGCACAACAATCGCTGACAGCCACAGCGGCGCATTGGAAAGCGGAGCAAGCAAAGCCAGAGGTGGGTAATTTTCGCTGCAAAAAGCATCCAGATGCTGTGTGGTTTTTTTGATGTGGCTGGAGTCCAGCCGCACAAAAAAAAAAACACCATGCGGTGTCTGGAGGTTTTTTGCAGCGAAAATTACCGACCTCCAGCTTTGCTCTGCTTCTCCAAATGCCACTGCCACCGCGTTCAAGGCACCAGCCATGCAGGCTCACCCCATTGACAGCTGCACCACTGTACCCCTTGGGCAAGTCCCTCCAGTGCAGCGGGCTCAGTGGGGTGGACCTGCGGGGCTGGCGTCTAGAATGTGGCCGCAGTGGTGCGTTGGAGAAGCGGAGCAAGCAAAGACGGAGATCGGTAATTTTTTGCTGCAAAAAACCTCCAGCCACCGCATGTTTTTTTTCGGTGCGGCTGAAGTCTAGTGACAAGGGTTCAGGCATTCGTGAAAAGGGTGACGTGGGCTGGGAGGGAGCCCAGCGACAACAATGGCTCAGCCCTGGCTTGTCTTCCCTGGCAGCCAGCCACGAGAGGCAGGTAAAGTCACAGCTGTGGGACGACGAAAGAGGTGGTCGTGGGGGAGGAAACGGGGAGATTAAGGGCCAGGGCCTCTGAAAGGGGAAACAGGGTGATGCAGGATTAGCCCAGGCCTTTGACAGATTAGGCCACACCTGCCTGGTCAGAAAATAGGTAATAGGTTAAGGAAGGGATAGAGAGAGAGGGAATGAGAGAAAGAGAGAGAAAAGAAAGAAGGAAAGAGAGAGGGGGGGAGGGAGAGAGAAAGAGAAAAAGAGAGAGGAAAAGAGAGAGAAAGAGAAAGACGGAAAGAGAGAAGGAACAGACAAGAAAGAAAAAGGGAGTGAGAAAGGGAGCGAAAGGAAGAAAAGGGATAGACAAAGAAAGAAGGGGGATGGAAGGAAGGGACAGAAAGAAAGAGAGAGGGAAAGAGAGAGGAAATGAGGGAGGAAGGAGAAAGTGAATGGGATATGGAGGGAAGGAGGGAGAGAGAAAAAGAAAGGGAAAGAGAAAGAAAGAAAAAAGAAAGGGAGGGAGGAGAAAGTGAATGAGATATCTAGTCCAACCACAGGTCAAGTAGCTCTGGGGAAGCCAGTCATAAATTAGAATACTTACTAAGCAACCAGCCATTAAGCGAGAACCACTTATATTTGGTTTGCCAGTCACATGGCCACGCCCACCCGGTCACATGACCACCAAACCGTGCCCATCCGGTCATGTGACCACCAAACTACGCCTAGCCGGTCACATGACCACCAAGCCACACCCATAGAACCAGTTGTTGAGAAATTTGAATCCCACCCCTGGGTGGGGGGCACTGAAGATGAGTTTGTAGCACCAAGGGGGCGGTGGACTGAAGAAGTTTGGGAACCTGCTTGGGTCTCCTGCTTGGATGGGGGTTTTGGGGTGGATTAAATGACCTACAAGGTCCCTTCCAACTCTGTCAATCTGTATCTATAGGTCTACATGCTATTGCTATAAAAACATTTAAGAAATTGGCAGTCCCATCTGATATTTTTTTCATTTCTGTAGATCAGAAGTGTCTAACTTTTTAAGGCAGCATTACTGAATCGTGTCAGTCGGAATTCTGCACGACTGTCAAACCTTGATGGATTTCACCTATAAGATTTCTTTAATTCTGCTTTTTTTTAAACAAAACAAAAAAGGAATAAGTAAAACAAATTGACTTGGAGGTTGCTCATGTATCACACCAGTGTGTCGGTGAGTGCTGCATAACCAGCCCTGTCTGAACCGAGTCCTATCTGTTCTTGGTGATGTGGTTGTGTAATATTTACTGCAGATTCTTCCAAGAATGAAGCACCGCAGCCGCTCCAAAATCCAGACCCACCGGAAATTGAGAGAAAGCCCAGCAAATTACGAGAAGCCACAGATGATGGCAGCCTGCCTCTCTCCCCAACAGGCGGTAGGTGGTAGCTTTTGTTTAAATGGCTCCCTTCCTTCTAAATCCATTTTTCCCAACCTTTATGATGTGTCCAGTTGGCGAATCTCCAGGGAGATTGTTTTACCAAAGGCATATATAAAACTTTACTGAATAAATCACGTTGGCATAGAAAAAGTGAAACCAACTCTGGGTTTCCCACACAAATGCAAGCATAGTGAATTCACTCTTTTCCCTATGGGCCACAATCCACAATCCAAAACGTCCAGCATATCACCCCTCTTTCTTTTGTTAAGTGAATCAGCCAACTACACCAGGGGCATCTGCTCAGCGTATGGAAGCTTGAATACTTTCTCCCTCTCTTGCATTCCATCCACACACACCCCTCCCTGTTATTTAGACTTAGATTTATTGGATTTGTCAATCGCTTACAAAATAAGAGGTATAAGTAGAAACATAGTCATGAATACATGAAATGGATACATATAAGAAAAATAAAAAGAAACAATTGGACAGGGACGGTAGGCACGTTGGTGCGCTTATGCACGCCCCCTACAGACCTCTTAGGAAAGGGGTGAGGTCAATAGTAGACAGTCTAAGGTTAAAGTTTTTGGGGTTTGGGGAAAAAAACACAGAGTCAGGTCGAGCATTCCAGACATTGACCACTCTGTTGCTGAAGTCGTATTTCCTGCAATCAAGTTTGGTGCGATTAACCTTGAGTTTGTATCTATTGTGTGCTCTTGTGTTGTTATGGTTGAAGCTGAAGTATTTATTGACAGGTAGGACATTGCAATGTATGATTTTATATACCATACTTAGATCAGACCGAAGATGGCGTAATTCAAGGTTTTCTAGGTCTAGAATTTCGAGTCTGGTGGCATAAGGTCTTCTGCAACGAGTAGAGGAGTGGAGGACTCTTCTTGTGAAATATTTCTGGACTTTCTCCACTATGTTAATATCAGATACGTAATGTGGGTTCCAGACTGATGAGCTGTATTCGAGTATTGGTCTAGCAAATGTTTTGTATGCTCTGGTTAGTAGTGTGATATTACCAAAGAAAAAGTTACGTAGGATTAGGTTAACAACTCTAAAGGCCTTTTTGGCTATGTAGTTACATATTGTCAAGCTGCGAGCGAGGGAAGGATCAAATGTAGGTGAAAGCGTGAATCAGTCTTGACATATGGACTTCAACTCCCAGAATCCCGTGGCTGGCTGGGGAATTCTGGGAGCTGTAAACCGCTTAGAGAGGGCTATAAAGCACTGTGAAGTGGTATATAAGTCTAAGTGCTATGGCTATTACTCATAAAGTTACCAAGGTTGAGAAACACTATTCTAAAGAGAGCTTATCAACTACAGGTAGTCCTTGACTTACAACCATTCATTTAGTGGCCGTTTGAAGCTACAGGAGCGCTGAAAAAAAGTGACTTATGACCATTTTTTTTTACACTTACGACCGTTGCAGTGTCATGTGATCACAAAATGCACTTGCTTGGCAACTGGCTCATATGTGCAATTGTTGCAGTGCCCCAGAACCGTGTGTTCCTCTTTTGCCAAAAGCAAAGTCAGTGGGGGAAGCTAGATTCGGTTAACAACTTCCGTTACTAACTGAACAACTGGAGTGAGCGCTTCGCTTAATAACTGTGGCCATAAAGTTATAAAATGGGGCAAAACTCATGCAAGAATTGTCTCACTTGGCAACGGAAATTTGGGGCTCAGTTGTGGTTGTAAGTCGAGGACTGCCTATATGTGGGAACTACAGATGGAAGGTTGAAGATCATGTGTGGCAATGCAGATTAAAGTCTGTATTGAGCACCCGGGTCCCAAAGAAGAAATAGAAAGCAACTGGCTCAGAGTCACCCAGCCAAAAAGGTTACATTCTTTTCCCTAATGGGTGTAGTTAACTCCACCAATTCCCTTTTTTTTTCCAATTCTTTTTCCTTTCCCCTGTTTAGGTGGCTATCAATGTGCTAAATGCGGTTCTGAGCATGGTGTGCCCTTTAAATGCCAGCAGTGTTCCTTCACGTGTTGCAACAAATGTTGGGAGAATGCCTTGAAGGTTAGCTTTCATTTTCATTTTTCCCTTTAGTCTTAATTGCATCAGCTGATTTGTGTGTGTGTGTGTGTGTGTGTATCCTGCCTTTATCATTTTTTTACAAATAACTTCGGGGAAGCCAACATACCCAACCCACTTTCCTCTTCCTATTTTCTCCACAAAGACGCTGTGAGGTGGGTTGGGTTAGGAGAGAGTAACTGGTCCAAAGTCACCCAGCCGGCTTTCATGCCTAAAGGCGAGACTAGCATTCACAACCTCCCACTTTCTAGGCTGCTGCCTTAACCACTAGATCCTTCTTCCTCTTGCCTGCTCTTAAAACACAGGAGAATTTCCCTTGCTTTGTTTTGGCAGTTGATTCTTACAGTGCATTTTCTCTCCTCGTATGTGACTTGAGCATCTTCTTGCAATTGAGATCACACGCCACTGACAAAAGAGGCTTGTTGTGATCCATGGCAGGTTAAGTTTGGTTCAAGGTAGCTATGTGGCCCAATCAAGCCCAGAGAACTGTATTGAGCTTTGCTTAGCTAGTTAGTCTGTATTAATAGTCAGTTGAAGGCACGTTAGTTGGGGATTATGAGAGATGAGATCAACGATTTGACACTAGATTAGGAATGACTAAATAGACCTCTAAGCCTCAGAGGCCAGAATCAGCCCTCTGTCAAAGAAGTATAATATAGATTAAGAGACACTTAAACTCTGACAAAAACAATGTCTTCTTTACTGCTGACTTTGCATTTTCCTTTAACTTTAATTCTGCAGCCTCAACTAATTTTGCCTTCGGAATGGGGGTTCCCAACTTGGACAGCTTTAAAATGTGTGGAATTTTTTTTGAAGTCCACACACCATATAGTTGCCAAGGTTGAGAAACTGTGCTTTTGACCTTGTTATTGGGCTTCAATACTGTATTTTTCAGAGTATAAGATTTCCTGGCATCACCAGAGCCACTTTTATTGCCTCTGACCTCCCCCAAAACCATGATGTCTGAATCACATCCCTTCCCAGAAAAGACCTGTCGCATTTTTGAAATATGGTTACACCAACTTGAGGGTCGATGTTCCATGTTGTTTTCGTTTGCCTTGTTTTAAGGGTATAGATAATAGGTTATATCAGTGCTGTTGCTTTACAAGGCTTTCTACAACTAATCACTTTCTTCTGCAGAAAATGCCTGATGTAACCAAATGGATTCTGTCAGTGTTAGGTCAGAAGAGCATATTTTTTTCAGAGTATAAGATGCTCCAAAGTATAAGACCCACCTAGCTTTTGGGGAGGAAAACAAGAAAAAAATATCTGCCTCCCAGCCCTTTGCCTCTTTGCAGCAAACAGCCAACAGCCGGTTTCAGCTTCAGCACAGCCTGAGTAGCACAAGCAGCTGACTGTCGGTGGAATGCCATTATTGCCGCCTCTGCGCACCCCGTTTTCAGCCTCCACGTGCCCCATTTTCTGCCCGTTCTGATCCCCACCGCCTGGAAAATGGGGTGCGCAGAGGCCAAAAACGGGGTGCAGAGGATGAAAATGGGGCATGCGGAGGTGGCAATAGGCCTGTCGCAATCCCTGCAGCCTGAAACAGCTGATCGTCAGGAGGCTGATCCAGCCGACAATCGGCTGCTTGTGCTAATCAGGCTGTGCTGAAGTTGAAACAGGCTGTTTGCTGCAAGGAGGCAAATGGCTGGGAGGCCCGAAGGGTGGGCGCCAGTGGGTGGGCAAGCCTTCGGCAACGTTCGCTGTATAAGACGCACAGACAATTCCAGGCGTTTTTGGGGGGGTGGGCAAAAATATGGTATTTCCTGTTCGACCACAAAATCAGCCGGCTGCTCTTCTAACCTAACACTTGACAGAATCCATTTGGTTACATCAGGCATTTTCCGCAGAAGAAAGTGATTAGTTGTAGAAAGCCTTGTGAGGCAATAGCACCGATATGACCTATTTATCTATACCCTCAAAACAAGGCAAACAAAAACAACAGGGAACATCGACCCTCAAGTTGATATTTCAAAAATGCGACAGGTCTTTTCTGGGAAGGGATGTGATTCAGACATCATGGTTTTGGGGGGAGGTCAGAGGCTATAAAAATGGCTCTGGTGATGCCAGGAAATCTGTGCCTCTCCCCCCCCCCCCCCCCCCCCAAGTAAATGAATGTTGTGATTGGAAACAAAGAAGGGAAGCAGCAACCCACAACTCAAGTGGTTACTTTGCTCTTTGCCAGGGTGCAATTTGGGATTTGTGAGGTATTTCACACAAGAAGCTATCCTGAATTTTTAGATTTTAAGACTGCTATTCCAGGAAGCCAAAGTAGACATAACATTACGCTCAAATGACTCTGTGATGTTTATCATCATTAAGCAGAAACCCACAGAGGTATGTGGTATGTGATCAAATAATCTCCTTCCCTTCTGGTTGGTCTTTCGTTACTAAAGTTTTTCATACCAAGCTAAGTGCAAGTTTAGCTCCAGACTCGTGATTTCATTGGAGTAACTTTCTTCCGGAATCCTGACAGCGAGGCTAGTTTGTGAGTGAGTGCCGTGGGAGTGCAAGGCTTTGGCAGGCCTGGCCTCCTGGTTAAGGTAAGCAATTGCTAGAGGCAGCCACAAGGTCAGCACCTTATCCGCTGTTGTTGTCCATGCAATGTAACATAAAACAGATGCTACTTCACAAGTAGGCCTGTGGTACTGTTGGAAGAAATATTATTATGGGTTCAGTTCCAAGTGGGGGGGAAAAAAACACTGGAATCACGGAAGCTGCTCGGAAAGAAGGTTTAATGGTGGACCAGGACCTCATGGGTTGGACCTCCTGAACGCACAAAGGGTGATCACCTGCTTCAAGATGTTGGGTGAAGAAAGAAAGAGAGAAAAAAAGAGGGCGAGATGCTAAGAGTGCCTGGGTTTTATACCTTCTGTTGTGCCCCACCTTAGTGTATCCTGTTCCTGTGTAAGAAATGCATCGCATTGGCTGTCAAGACTCCCAGTTGGGCAGGGGTCTGGCTCAGTGGTGGGATTCAAATTTTTTTTACCACAGTTCTGTGGACGTGGCTTGGTGGGCGTAGCAGGGGAAAGGATACTGTAATATCTCCAGTCAGAGGTGGTATTTGCCAGTTCTCTGGGCTACTCAAAATTTCCACTACCAGTTCTCCAGAACTGGTCAGAACCTGCTGAATCCACCACCTCTGGTCTGGCTTTGTCTGTGTGATCTTCCCAGGTGCCATGTGGTGAAATGGGTTGAGGCCTAATCCTATCTTTTGTTATGTAGAATAGACTGGCGGAGGCTATGATGGCCCATTGACAAAGGTAGCAGGGGACTGGGCTGAGTTTCCGCCTCTCTGAGTTTCTACTTCTCTTTTAAGGGAAATATTCTGCCTCTTTAATATATCCTAAAATATTTCATTTTGCTAGGAGAGGGGTGGGCGCTAACTTCCTACAATGCTACGTGCTCTTACACAAGTATCTGGAGGTTGGAGTTAGTGCCAAATGCAGCAAGCGGGCTGCTTGGTACAAGCTGCAGAGACCACCAGGTGCTTGCATGGAAATGTAGAAAGATCTGTGTTCACTGGCATTTATTAAATAGCAAGAGCCCTTAGACTTATATACCGCTTCACGGTGCTTTCTAGCCCCCTCTAAGCTGTTTACAGAGTCAGCCTCTTGCCCCCAACAATCTGGGTCCTCTTTTTACCGACCTCGGATGGGAGGCTGAGTCAACCTTGAGCTGGTTAGGATCAAACTCCTGGCAGTGGGCAGAGTTAGCCTCCAATACTGTATTCTGACCACAGGAAGGGAGGGAGGGAGGGAGGGAAGGAAGGAAGGAAGGAAGGAAGGAAGGAAGGAAGGAAGGAAGGAAGGAAGGGGAGGAGGACTGTGAGGTCCTTGGTGCTCTTTGAGCTTGGTTGTTTTCTTGCAGACAGTTCATGACCCAACTAGGGAGCATGATCAGTGCTAGAAGGAAGTGGGGTTTGCAGAAAGGAGGGGGAGGGAGAGGGGGAGGAGGAGGACTGTGGAATCGTTGGTGCTCTCCGAATTTGGTTGTTGCCTTGCAGACGTTTCATGACTCAACCAGGCAAGAAGGGAGGAGAGTTGTATATAGTAGCTTGCCATGGTGGCGCAGTGGTTAGAATGCAGTACTGCAGGCTACTTCTGCTGACTGCTTGTTGCCAGCTGTTCAGCAGTTCGATTCTCACCGGCTCAAGGTTGACTCAACTTTCCATCCTTCTAAGGTGGGTAAAATGAGGACCCAGATTATTGGGGGCAAAAGGCTGACTCTGTAAGCCGCTTAGAGAGGGCTGTAAGGCCCTGTGAAACGGTACATAAGTCTAAGAGCTATTGCCCTATCAAGTGTTGGTGGAACTATTCTTGGTAGTTCTTTGATTACACTGCTGTTTCCTGTCTGATTGTCTGAATTCTTAGTTTTTTGATTGGGGTATTGGGCAAGCCACTAATATATAAACAGGGGCCAAACGCCACTCCTTTCTAGCACTGATGATGTTACCTATTTGGGTCATGAATCATCTGCCAGAAAACAACCAAACCCACAGAGCGCCAGGGATCCCACAGTCCTCCCCCGCCTCCTTTTCCTTCCCTTTGCAGACCTCACTCCCTTCCAGCACTTGTGATGTTACCTAGTTGGGTCATGAAAGGTCTGTCCAAAAGTAGCCCAGCTCATAAGAGTACCAAGGACCTCACAGTTCGACCCTGAGTTATAAACACGCTCTTCTATTTATTAAATGAAAACATATTATGGCTGCTCACTCCGATAGATTCCTTTTCCTGATGGGCATTGAAGGACAAGGCCTCTCTCTCTGCCTCTCCCACTACGAGCCAGCCTGATTGTTAATGCCTGCCAGAAAGGGGGTCTTATTGGTGATGCTCTTATTGGTGGCCCTTCTAGCATACGAAAGAAGGGCCTCTTTGTGGTTTCCAGGCTACAGAATGCATTCTTCATCACGTAGGATAAATGTCATGAATGTCATCCTCCTTCGGTGGTTTAATCATGAAGATTAGAGTAAATATTTTGAACATTAACTTTTAAACTTTGGCATCCACCTTCAATGCATGTCAGATCGCTAAATAAACGAAAGCATTAGAAGGGGACCTCTGTAGCTTTTTTAAGGTTTAGACCTTTTTTTTTTGTTTAGACTTTTTGTTGTTATTGTTGAGACTCTGGAAAGAATGAAGAGAACAGCAACCAAGACGGTTAGGGGCCTGGAGGCTAAAACATGTGAAGAACAGTTGCTAGAATTGAGCATGTCTAGTTTGACGAAAAGGACTGGGGGAGACACAATAGCAGTCTCATAATATTTGAGGCGCTGCCACAAAAAAAGTGGGGATCCATTTGTTTTCCAAAGCACCCGAAGGCCGGACAAGGAAGAATGGATGGAAACAGATCAAGGAGAGAGGTTCAACCTAGAAATTAAGAGAAATTTTCTGACCGTGTGAACCATCCACCAATGGAACTTCAGAAATTGTAGGTGCTCCATCGCTGGAGGCTTGGAAGAAGAGATTGGACAGCCGCTTGTCAGAAGTGGCATAGGGTCTCCTGCTTCAGCAGGGGGGGTGGGCTAGATCCGTGGTTGCCAACCGGTGGGCCGTGAGAAAATTTTGGTGGGCCGCAGAGAAATCTCACCCCCAGAGCACACACACCCCCAAAGCAATTAATCCAGGCTGCGCAGAAACACAAGGCTGCACCGCCCATATGGCCCGCAGGAACCCTCCCAACCCACTCACTCCTTACCCGGCAAACTTGCCTGCTAAATTGCTATTTTTCCTTTTTCCGACCATCATCTGTTCTGCTGTGCCGGGAGATTTGGATTAGCTAGGAAGCAGGAAATGGTTGGATTTCTTGCTTTCTAGCTAGTCTTTAGATCTTTGGCTCTGCTTTTAAGCACAGCCGAACCTCCCTTAGGACTGAACTTTCTATTATTCAGTGCAGACTCACGGCAAGCAAATTTTGAGAGACTGAGCTAGCCAATGGCAAGTAGATCACTGAATGATTCGGTGAGCAACTCAATCTGCCTGCCTGATTTGCCTGATTTTGGGTAAAAGTTGCTCTTTTTTTTATAAAAAATTCACTATTTATATAAATATTCATAATATTTACATACAAGCCATGCCCAGCCAGTCACATGACCACCAAGCCAAACCCACAAATTAGGCCACGCCCACAGAACCAGTTCGTGGTCCCTGGGATTTAAAATTATGAGTTTGGTGGCCCCTGAGGTCCCCTGGGCAAGATGACCTGTAAGGCTTCTTCCAACTCTGTTATTCTAAGCTCAGGGTTGAACTCTGGAGTTCTTGTTGCTTTCTGAGCTTGAATGAATAGAATAGAATTCTTTATTGGCCAAGTGTGATTGGACACACAAGGAATTTGTCTTGGTGCAAATGCTCTCAGTGTACATAAAAGAAAAGATACATTCGTCAGGAGTCGAGAATCATAAGGTACGACACTTAATGATAATCATGGAGTACAAATAAGCAATGAAATCATACTAGGAAACAGTCAATATAAATCGCAAGGATACAAGCAGCAAAGTTGCAGTCATACAGTCACAAGTGGGAGGGGATGCGTGATAGGATAGGAATGATAAGAGGATTGATAGTAATGCAGGCTTAGTAAATAGTTGGACAGTGTTGAGGGAATTATTTGTTTAGCAGAGGGATGGCGGTTTGTTTGCAATTGCCCAGTTCTGCAGTTCTACAGAAATACCTGCAAGCAAACCACCAGCTCAGAGAGTAGCAAGGATGCCACAAATAAATGAGACCTTGTTGATTTTGACATCTTGGGATCTGTCATCTTTTTCCCAGTGTTTTAGTATGTCCTTGTTTACATATCTTATTTCTCTATAAACATAGCTCATTTCCTCAGTGATGTCCTAACATATATATATATATATGCACAGCCAGATCTTGGGAGGAAAGTAAATTTTTCCGCAATGTTTCACCATTACAACAAATTACTTTTGACGTAATTTGTGTTGTTATTCCAAGAGCTTAGTGCTATGCGTCATTACCTCTTTAAACCAGTGTTTCTCAACCTTAGCAACATTCAAATATTTAAAGTGGGAATGCCAGTTTGGTCTAGCGGTTAAGGCACCAGCCTAGGAAGCAGGATAGTGTGAGTTCTAGTCCTGCCTCAGGCACAAAAGACAAAGTGGGTGACTGAGCCCATCACCAGGAGATGTGGAGTTCTTGTCCCATCTTAGGAATAAAAGCCAACTGGGTTACACAGGGTGGTTGTATACTGCATGAGTCAAAAAGGGGGCTGTGAAAATATTTACAGACCCCTCACATCCTGGACATAAACTGTTCCAATTCCCTCCCTCAAAATGACACTATAGGGCACTGCACACCAGAACTAGACACCAGAACAGTTTTTCCCCAAACGCCATCACTCTGCTAAACAAATAATTCCCTCAACACTGTCCAACTGTTACAAAGTCTGCACTACTATCACTATTAATCTTCTCATCACTCCTTATCACCCATTCCCTCCCACTTGTGACTGTATGACTGTAACTTTGTCGCTTCTACCCTTGCGATTTATATTGACTTTTTCTAGTATGATTTGATTGCTTATTGTACCCTATGACTAAGTGTTGTACCTTATGATTCTTGACTCTTGACGAATGAATCTTTTCTTTTATGTATACTGAGAGTATTTACACCAAGACAAATTCCTTGTGTGTCCAATCACATTTGGCCAATAAAGAATTCTATCTTCTATCTATCTTCTTAACTTTGGGCCTTTTTCTCTCTCTCAGCCCAATCCACCTCATAGGGTGGTTGTTGGGGGAAAATAGGAAGAGGAAGGCATGTCAGATATGTTTGCCACCTTGAGGTATTTATAAAAATAATAAAGGCAGAATACAAACAAATCATTTGGACTTTAGTTCACTGTTTTAAACAGGATAAGGCCTCAAAAGATGGCCGAAAACAGCTTTTGCACAAGGATCATGAGGTAAAATGCCATATTTTGATTGCTCTTGTGTTTCGCCACACAGCTTGCCAAGAAGTGCCCAGAATGCCAAGCGGACACCAAGAGAAGACACTTGGCCATATCTTACTGGCCAGATCCCCCCGTGAAAGGCACGTAGAGTGAACACGTGAACTGTTCAACGGGTTCTACAGGATGTACGGCTGGCTCCAGCTGCTCTGTGTGGAAGAGGAACAACGAAATTGCACGTGGTTTTAAGTTAGATCCTCCAGGCTAACCCACCCGCTTCTTAAGAGAAGCCACACGGTCTTCAACGTGACCATTCTCCAGATATTTGAGCCACTCAAGTGCTCCTGTCTGTTTCAGTCAATCTAGATGGCATTTAAAATCAGAGTTAATATGTTATTATCTTTTTCTAATGATGACCTTTGCAGTCAGACCGGGTACCACAAAGCCTATTGTCTTTATTATGGAAAAATTAAAAAGGACTTTCTAATAACGGAATCTGAGTGGAGCTTTCTATTCTGTCTCCAAAGAATCACCCTGTTTTTTGTTTTGTTTTCCTTTGCCGTCCTTATAATATAAATTAAATGAAAACTTTCCACAAAGTCACATTAGTTTGAATTTCCATAGGATCTGGATAGGCATGTGTTGTGAACAAAGGAATACTTTCCAGATACTCCTCGACTTAACGATCAAAGCCTGAGCTCAGAATGTCTGTTGCTAAATGATAGCAGTTGTTAAATGGGTTTTGTCCCATTTTATGACCTTTCTTGCCACAGTTGTTAAGTGAGTCATGGCAGTCGATCAGTTAGGAATACGGTTGTTAAGTGAATCTGGCTTCCCCATTGACTTTGCTTTTTCAGAAGAGGGTGCAAAGTGTGACCCCATGACCCCAGGTCACTGAAACCTGCTGCCAAGCGTCCATGTTTTGAGACCATGACCATGAGGATGGCTGCAATGGCCGTAAGTGTGAAAGAAGCTTCTTGGATGAGAAGCGAAACGCCTTCAAAGAAAAACAATAAAATCCAGTTGTGTCTTAAGAAAGCACCCTTGGGATGAAAACGACGCTACGTATTCTGAAAAAAAAGCTGTTGTACCGTATATCAGCAATATTATCAGACCAAAAAAATGGGATCTCAGTTCTTAATTAAAGGCTGAAACCCTTTCATAGACTAAAATCAGGCAGACATAATTCTAAACTAAAAGAGTGCAAAATATTTTGTAGTCAAGTGTTGTGTTTTTTTTTTTGGAACAGCATGGATAACGTTGAAATGAAATGTTTCCAGATTGGGGCATTTAGATTCCAAGTATCGTATGGTCTCCTATACATCCATCACTCTATACCAGTGATGGCTAACCTATGACACGCGTGTCACTCGTGACACGCCGAGGCACTTTGACTGACATGCCTGTTGGTGTGGGGAAAACCTGCACATTTAGAGGCTGCCTGTGCTCTGCTCCAATCCCTGCTCCCTGCTTGTTGCGTGGAGGCGCGGTGTCACCGCTGCCGCAAGATCTTTGCAGCAGAGAACCAGTTTTAACCGCCATAAACTGAGGTTTGTCAGTTTCATTACCTCAGGAACGCTACAGGAGGAAAGGAGATCCATGAGGTTCACAGCCCTGTAAGGTGGCCTTCCGATCCCCACATCCTGCACCTGCAGCCCTGAGACCAGGGAGACGAGTTTCACAGCCCTGTGTGATCACCCCAGCCCAGCCCGTCATAAACCAAATTATTGATATTTCTTGAAGTGACACACGACCCGAGGAAGGCTACACTTTTTCCCGATTTTCGACACACCAAGCTGAAAAGGTTAGCCATCACTGCTCTATAACAATACACTGACTTCTCTAAAGAAAATGAAAGAAAAATATGTAAAGCATGGCATAGTTTGAGTACTCTTAAGACTCCCTCAGAAATGGCGTTCACCATCCCTCTAGGGGAGGGGTAGAGGTGTCCATAGCGTTCTAGGTGGGTCTCCTCTCCCTTTTTGGGGCCTGGGGATGGGGAAACTCAGCCTCAGAGGCTTTAGGAATGTTCTTTTCCCACCAGTTACTTATCTTATCCTGACACTGGGATTCTCACAATATTGTAAATCACTCCCTATGAAATCAGAAGGTTTTGTTCCACTAGATTCATACTTAACAATACAAATTGGACATGACTTGGAGGGTTTCTCAAGAATTATTCCCACGAAGACAAGAAACACCACGCCAAAACCAGCCTCAACAGCATCTCTCAGAAAAGGTACTAGGGTCTACAGAAAACTTTCTTATCTACAGAAAACTTTCCCATCAGTGGGGGCTGGTCTGTTGAGATGATAACACCCACCCCTTAACTCTGTCGGGAATTCAGATCAAAGCATTCCTGACACAGGATTCTCTGCTTTTTGAACTCTTTAAAATTACCCTTCAGATTAGCAAGACTTCCTCGCAGTTAACCGAAATTGACCTTCCTGTAATGTAAGGCTTTTAAGTCCTACAGTCCCTTGTCTGATGGTTGCTTTCCATCTGACATCTTGCCTCCCTCATCTCTTCTCAAGGCCAAACAGTCAAAAGCTTTGGGTTTTCCCAGAAATAATGTATGGCTGTGAGAGTTGGACCGTAAGGAAGGCGGAGCACCAAAGAATTGATATTTTCAAAATTGTGGGGCTAGAGAAGATTCTTGGGAATCCCTTGGACCTCAAGGAGATCCAATCAGTCAATCTTAAAAGAAAATAAACCTGACTGTTCCTTGGAAGGACAGGTGCTGAAGCTGAAGATCAAATACTTTGGCCGCCAAATGAGAAGACGGGTGTCAGGGTTCTAAGTAACACACTCCCAACACAACAAACTCCGAGACAAGCATTTTCTCAAAAGTTCCGTTTTATTAGAGTTGTCATATTGGCACATCTGGGGAAACCCAAATCTGAGAGTTCCGGGTTTTCCCTTCGTAATTGAAAATCCAAACCCCATGATGCGCTGCGTCCATCACATGGTCCAACTGAAGACATTCCTCCAACCGCTCCTTTTCCAGGTGCAGGATGGCTTGTCATTGACTCAGAAGAAGAATGTTGTTATGTCCCCGTTCTATGAAATCCCCCATCCCAAATTCCCAGGCACTAAATGTGGCGGCGTTGAAGCTTCTAAGTAAAATATGTTCTCCCATGAACTGTGAAGAGCATCCAGGAGTAGTGGGAGGTGCTCCAGTCTCCGCATGTCTAGGCTGGGCTTAATTTGTGGAACGCTCCTCCTCCTCCACGGGACTCCTCCCCAGCGTTCCCCAGTTTTGGTTCAGCCTCGTGAGAGATAGGCAGTGCTTGTGATTCTTCCTTGGCCGAAACGGGAAAAATTCTTTCCTTGCCAGCAGGTTTGAAAGTTAATCAGCTTGTCTTTAGCCTTCTAATCCCATTGCAATCTCTCGACGTTGGCTTGCATTGCAGAGATCGCTCACATTTCAGGGAAGTGCCAATTCGTGCCCCAATGCAGCGGGAGGCTTCGGCGCTGCTCCGCGCCCCCTCCCCACAACCGATCTTTCTACCCCTGCCATTCCGACCGATTGCCGCAGTTTCTTTACCCAAACAGCGGCATGAGCTCTTTGCTCCCAACAGAGTCGTATCGCTTTCCTTCCCCCTCTGAATGCCACTTGGGGTGGAGGATTCAAATCCTTAGTACCTTCCACCCTTCCCCGCCGTTTAGCCTCATAGGAAAAGCCATCGGAGGCTATTCCTTTACACGGCGGGAGTTTGCTGCTGGGGAGAGCGCCAAAAGATCAACGGCCGGAGGCCATCTTTTCTTACAAGACCTCGTGGCCGCGCGCCTGTATTCCATTTCGTGCTGTGTGAGGTAACTCTGTTCCGAGCAGAGGTTCCCTTCAGAAATGCTGGGGACCATTATACCCTCGTCTTGGTTTTTTTCTACATTCAAGGCTATTCTTACAGTTCAATTGTTGGCTTAACCCTCACAGCCCAATCAACCCAGCGGCACAACAGCGAGCACCTAGGCCTGTGTCCACCTGTGCAGGGACATTGTGCCACTTAATTAATATACATATACACATACACACATACACACATACACACATACACACATACACACATACACACATACACACATACACACATACACACATACACACATACACACATACACATATACACATATATATATATAT